TGAGATCGCAATACGCCTCTTTGTCAGAAAACGTATCTAAATATGTTAGGAATTGGTCGTACCCATTTCGAAAACGTTAGAAATCACTTGGCGATGAATGGTATCATACCTCGTGTTCATGGTAACATCAAACGAATGCCACGATGGAAAACCAAAATAACCATTGATATAAACATTGCCACTGCCGTAAAGAATTTTCTCGAAAACTATGCGGAAATTCATGGGTTACCAAGTCCGGGTAGAAATGTCAATCGCGTTACTCAATCGCTTACGCTTTTACCAGCTGAAACGAGTTACAAATCAGTCTATCGTAATTTTATTGCAGGTGTTGAAAATGATAGCACACTGAAATTGTTAAAATATGATGCGTTTCGCAAGTTATGACACCAATTAACACCCTATATTCAAATCATGAGTCCAAGAACGGATTTATGTGACACGTGCCAACATTTTCGGAACGGCTTACAGTACAACGCCCGCAAGGAAGAAGAAGCGAAAGATTTATTAAAAAATTTCAAAGAACATTTAGTTAAGGCTAAAATGAGAGAAATTATTACAACAAAAATACGAAATTAGCAGAACAACAGAGAAAATTGGTAGACGAGCATTTTATAACAAGAGGTAAAGCTGGTTATTGTAGTGTTGACGCGACTGCACATTACAGTTACGATTGGGCACAAAACGTTCACGTACCCCATTCCGATCAACAGGTAAGCAAGATTTATTATCTTAGTCCACGTAAAGTGCATTTATTTGGTATTCAAGATGAAGCAGTACGCGAACAAATTAATTACGTTCTCGATGAGGACGAAATTATCGGCAAAGGCCCTAATGGCACCTTGAGCATGGTATTCGATGGAATTAAACAATTGAATAAAGGTGAGAAACATTTACAGATTACTTGCGATAACGTCCGATGCGCTAATAGTCGAAACTGTTCACAAACAATAATACTTTACAAAATCCGTCCTCTACGAACAAACATAATTTTCGCTATCAACACCTCCCCTTCTTGCTTTAATGTCTCATTCTTATTGATTATTTTCTATACTCAATTCTTAAACTTCTTTAATTGTTTTATTATCCTTTTCTAAACTGAACGCTAAACCTTATTTTAAAACCAATTTTGAAAAAAGAAAACGTCGTTGGGTCCGATTATTATGCCAAGATTTCAAAATTTTCATGTTTTCTTAGAACATACAGTTTATTAATTAGTGAAACAAAAATTAACGAGAGCGCTTTAATAAAAATTATTTTGTAAAAATCTTATTATGTGCTGCTGCTTTTCATGGTCAAGCTCTGCGTGTGTTGTTTAATCAACGGTATAGGTAATTAGGAAATGAGCTGTTGCTTGCTAACGTTATTTTCATACGTACATTGATATTATAAATATAATATATGATAGAATTTCTAGTTAACTCGACATGTAAGATTAATTTCGTACCATAATAGCAGAGTGTGCAATAAAAAACTGTATACTCTATCAATTCCAAAGAATAATGATTCTATTCTTACACGCGATTTCTGACTTATGAACTAAAATTGCAATAAACAGGACGTCATAGTTTTAATACCAGACAGGAAAGTATAGTGGATAGTTATTCGCCCTGCACAGTATTAATCTACGGCTGACTTTTCTCATAATAAGGTTGCCTTTTTTTTTTTTGCAAAAAGTAAACTCTCAAAGGTTCCGTCTGTAGGTCGAACAGTTGGGTCCAACGCTTTACATTGTAAGCCTTTTAGCCTTGGAGAGTTTCCCAACAGTTATCCGTCGAGTCTCAATAGTAGTCTAAACAAAATAAATTTCTGCCCAGTGTTAAAAGTGCCTTGTTATTAATTAATTATGACAAACAGCGAAAATGATAATTTCTAGAAAAGCGCCTCAAGCTCTCAACTTTATCATTCTGACAACAAACGTATAGCATAAATGTTTACTATCAATAGAGTAGTCACTCCATCTCGAGTTACATGATACTTTCAGGCCAGACAGTCAAAAATCAGCCTTTTCTTGTTTGGTCCAGATTGATTGAATTTTCACAAAAAAAAGAAGGGGGTTTTTAGAATAATGGTTTAGATTTAAATCATTTTATACTTTGTATACGTAATAATAATTCCGTTTCCAAAACTGTTACCTAAAGAAGAGTTGGTTATGATCAATTAATAGCATATAAAATAATAAAGCTTGCAAACAATGCCAAGAAATAATTCGATCTTGAAACAAATACGTGACCGTTTTTCCTTATTTATCTCTCAAAATAACAAAGCCTTTTACTTTTAAGACGTGGTGTGAGAGGAGAATGACAACAAAATACAACATGAAAGATGTTGTATTAAATTTTACTTTATTTTATTTATTTATTTTTTGCAATCTCGTGTTCTCACGACTACTTGTGCATGGTGACAGCCTATTTTTGGTGCATGTAATATTGCTCAAGAGAGTTAGTAAAATTAATATTAAAGATAAAACACTCTTTATGGGTTGATTAAACCTTGAGCATTATCCAATTTGAATTCTTTTTGTCTTTAGAACAGCATTTCCACTGCATGTGATAATCCATCGTCCACCACTTCTTCCTCTATAACTTAACTTAATTTGCGTTAAAATTAGCGAGAATGCTTTATAGAATGTTACTATTTTTTTTATTCGATCGATTTTGTGTAACAAATAATGTACTATTTTGTGTTATCGTCCGTAAACAGCTTGCCTGGGTTTAGTTTAGTAAATCGTGTAGATCAAGGAGCTTTGAAAATCAGACTGATCGAGATCATTCCGTAAGCCCGAACACACGGGTACAACCCTCAAATTACGAATAGTAGCACTCACGCAATATTAATTATAATGGCGCATCACAACATCAAAGCATCGCAAGCATTCAAATGTCAATGATCACCAACTCAAGAATTATACGATTGCAACATCACGCCATCAAGGATCAACACTTGTAACGATGCCTTTTTTTGCACATTTCGAAAAATGTTATATTATTATATCTAATGATCATGAAAAATTATATATCTTCAGATCACATGATATTGCTGTCCATGTATACAAAACTACAAAAGAGAAGCATATATGGTTCCCTGAGCATAACGTAAAGAAAAAATGTATATGTTGGTAATATATAAAACAGTTTAAAAGATGATAAAAACGACAAAAAAAAAATAGTACTAGATGGCAAGTGTATATAGAGAAGAAGAAAGGGGGAAAAATATTACAAGTGAAAATACTCTTAGAGTGTACTTAAAAAAATTTCAATATAAGATGTGTGATGTATAAAAATTTAAATCCAATAAATATATATGAAACAAAAAAACATAGTATATAAGAAATATATGTACGAGAAGTAAAACAAAAAGTATGTAATTAACAGAGTCCGTTTAAATCCAAAAAATAAAAAGAGCAACTATTAAAAAACAACGACGATGACAATCAAAATGATTGGATCATCATTTTTTAATGAAATAGATTATCCAAAATCTCGCATCACAATTCTTAACAAACGTCCATAGGAGCAACATTATCTCTGGTAGTATTACTTGGTCCACTATCAGCGGATAAAAATTGTCGTTCTTGTTGTGCCGCACCACCACCCTGCATCCCACCACACGGTAACCCACTACTCTGCAACCCTATAACACTTGTCGTCCCAACTACAAAGTCATTTTGTCCGTTACTCGGCACAATTACATCTTCTTCTGGATAACGCAACACTAACGATGTCATTCCATACTGTGATGATGTTGGGTTAGAAGAATTTAGATTCGATTGTACAACTGGTATAGCCGGCATGGTATTCGAGCGTTGGAATCGGGGATGGGGATGGGGATGTGCTTGCGATTGTGGCCCGGCGGACATTGAAGATGTGGGCGAAGCTGTGGCATATCGTAATGCAGGAGTTTGCTGTGATTTCTGTCCATTCGATCGAGCAAAATTCATATGGGCGTTGGCTCGCGCTGCGAAGCTAGATTGTTCTCCTCCCAATCCGAAAGGTCGTACGTCTGTCAACTCGTCACTAGAAAATCTCCTCGATTTTTTTGCAATTGTATGGTTCTGTCCGCGGAATGAACCAGTACCGACAAACGCTTGCGTAGTCGGCGGTGACGTGCTAAGTGTTCCCATACTCGATCGCTGTGGTTTGTTCATAATCGACATACCCGGTCCGCCTATTCCTAGCCCTGCATTCTTGGCGGATTTAGAAGATTTTGAATTCGCATTCGTGCCTCCACGATTGCGTTTTTTGATTACGTCCGTTTTGAGTGTTAGCGGTCGGACGACGCCGTGGAGCTTTAGAAATAGGCCACATGCATTGCAAAGTGGGTGTCCTTCAGGATTGCGGCGCCACAATGGGGTTATCTGAGTTGCACAATTTGTGCATGTTGTCGGGGTTGTTTGCTTAGGGTGATTTGGTTGTCTGGGAGACGTCTGATGCATTTGCTGGTGTTGATGCATTCGCATTTGTTGCTGCATTTGTTGTTGTTGTTGCTGTTGTTGCTGTTGCTGTTGCCGTTGCTGCTGCTGTTGCTGTTGCTGTTGCTGTTGCTGTTGCTGTTGCTGTTGCTGTTGCTGTTGTTGTTCTTGTTGTTTCTGCGACAATGATGGTGGTGAAGATGGTTGTGATTGCGATTGTATGTGTGATGGTGACGATGGTTGTGAATTTGGCTGTGACTGTGACTGTGATTGTGAAAACCTTTTTTCAATACATGACGAAGAAATAACTGTACTCAAAGTTGCGTTCAATGGTGGGGATCGGGATATACTCCTCTGTCGCTTTCCCGGCACCGATGATGATAGTGGTGGTGACGATGATATGATCGATATCGCTGTTGCCGCTGATGTTGCCGTAAGTTGTGGCGAAATGTTCCCATCGGTTCCTTTTTCTTCCAAGCCGATTCCATCCGACGACGAATCGCTTGACAAAAGCTTCTTTTGTACACTAGTACTCGTGCCATTTCCTCCCGCACCCTCTTGGTCCCTGGTCTCTTCGTCTCCCAAAACTGCATACTTTAACTGCTGCGTTTTAAGTCCTTTCTCGTCCTGCGATGATGCTAATTGATTATCTGTCATCATTTCATATATAGGTTCTTGTGATTGGGAGGATGGTACCAGTAATGATGGATTAATGTGCAAGAACTGTGACGATGAGGAAGCCAAGTCTCCGCTATCGAATTCGTTCATCATGTTAAAGTAGTCCTCATCATACGGATAACTAACATAATAGTCATTGTCTGCTGGAGTAAGTGGAGCGAGATGAGGAGCAGTGCTGACCAGTCCGTCCGCTGTCAAGTCGAACGAAAAATAATTATCATAGGGAGTGTTGGGATAGTTGAGCGAGTTTAGTGTATACTGAGTTGCAACAGAGCCGTTCATGGATGAAGAAAGAGATTCGGACAAGTCTGTATCGGAATCATCCAACGTGTCGTTTGGAATTATAATTGATTGCATTTGGGGGACATCGTTTGCAAAGTTTTCCGAGCGTTTCTATCAAGGGTTGAGTAGTAAACGATAAATTTCATTAGATATTTTATTGGCCGTTTCCAGCCTTTCTCTTCCCCCCACCTGGTTTTGACTACTCACTCGTTTGGGAAAACTCAGGCCACTTTCCTCCCTGTCGACCGTTCCAATCGGAACATCGATGCTCTCTATTATTTTCTTATTCCGTCCATTATTGATTCTATTACGTTGTCTTTGCTGTAATAGTCTCATTTCATTATTAAACACGTTTGTTTCCGGACCGCCTGTAACGACAGCCAGATTGTCCACCATGTCATCGATCCTGCCAGAGCCATTGACATTGAACGGTCCAAATCCGTACGCAGTTTGGCTCATGTTGGATGGTATTGGAATAGCCGCGGATGTAGCATGAGACGACACAGGAGACGTGGATGCGTAGGAAGAGACCTCGTCGGCGTTTGACGTGTCAGATGGAGAGGTAACAAAAGAAGTGTCGACAAACATTGCATCGTCATATTCTAATTGGGAAGTTTGTGCGAGTAAAATGGAATCGGACATTTCGACATCAGACTGTCTGATTGTGATAAATAAAAAAATGTAAAGTGGATAGCAGAGATTAGATAAAGAAACACCCGCGTAAAAGATAAAAAAAAAAAACAATACAGAGATTCTAATACACAGTTTTTGTATATCGATAGTTCAGCGGCATTCAAAACTTTTTAACTTACTTGTCCATCGATCCGCCGCTGCAAATCGTTCCTGAACGACAATTCGCCGTATCGCTTTCTCGTTCGCAGAAAATGTCATTGCGCGAAGGTTTCTCTTCTACTTTTATACTTTTCGCAGAGTCTTTTCGTTTTTGCGTCCTAGCTTCATTTCTATCTAGTTCGGTTATAGCAGCAATCCCATTATCGTTCGTTTTTGTTACGATGGATCTCTTTACGAGACCATCAAATTCCGCGGTGTCGCGCCGTTTTCCTTCTTGCCATTTTTTCCGTTCTATAGCCATTACACGCCATGTGAGATTTTCTAGACGAACACCGTTGGGTAAAGCGTCCTTGGCTTTTGTGCATAGCCGCCATAGAGAAGTGTTCTCGGAATGTGATTGGGATGAGCGTCTACTTTGAGCTTTCGCTCGTTTGTAGAACTCTTGTGGTTCTTGAAGAACAACGGACGGCGGTAATATTAGCGAGATTTCCGAGATTTCCGAGAGCATGTTGGAGCAAGTTTTAAGTGAGAAGTTGGGGGGGAAAGTTCTGTGTGTTGTGGGGGACGTGTATATATATGTTGGTAAAAAAGGACGAGTATATTGATTAATAAATGATAATTGAGTTGCTGCGGTAAAGTAATATAGGACTATGTTTATAATGGCTTTCTTTGCTTTTGTTTTCTGCTTTTCTTTCGCTTTACAGATATATGTATGTATATATATTTATATATTTATATTTAATACATATATATCTCTATCACTCTCTTTTTCTTTTTCTTTTCCTCTCAAACAAGCAGTTGTTCGCCAATACCAGTTTTATATTGAACTCGTACGTTATAATATCGTTAATGGGAATAAGTTTATTACTCTGTTTGGGACTTCTCTCTCGTATGAGAGAAGGAAGAAGTGCGGTGTGGTAAGTTGCACCCTTTTTTCGAACCGACGATTATTTTTTGAGAAAGATGGAAAAAAATTGGGTCATTAAATTAGCGTTGATGCTGGAGTCAGCTGTGCGACACAAAATCACTGTGTAGCTTAGCGTTAGCACAGAAGTTTTTTTTTTAAGTTTACAGAATAAGTATTTATTTATATAAATTTGACATATTTATACAGTTGCACATTACAAGATTTGTATATTTATAGATATACTATTCTTTTTATATTATAAATTCAAAAACTAGTCAGGGGGGAGAGAAAAGCAGAGGGACGGATAATAGGTTGAGACACAAAACGACAACAAATAATAAACTAAAATTAACACATAATTATTCTCATATCACATTCATTGCAGTTGAATTTTTATTCTTGGTAAGTGGAAATAGAATCCTAATGGAACAGTTTTAAAAAATAATAAATGAAATAAAAAAGTGCATATATTCGAAAAAAAAAGTGCATATATATATATGCATTACAACATATATGCGCATACATACACACACACACATAACATGCAGACAACACACGCTCACACACAACACATACGAATGCTTTTGTTGACCATTCATTCCCCATTTCTCAGTTTTACAAAAGGACGTTTGTTTCACAGTATTCGACTTTGACCATCCGAATGTTCGTCAGCCATTGAATGAATGGGGGCTTGTTGTTGTTACTGTTGTTGTTGTTGTTGCTGTTGTTGCTGCTGATGTTGTCGTTGTTATCATTATTGTCGTCGGAATAAGAGTTGTAAAGCATCAGAGGCGAAAGACATTCTTTTCGATGCCAGTTCACCAGGCTGTTCCGACTAGGCATAAAGGTATTATATAAATCAATACAGCTGATGGAATTTATTGTGATTATCTATCCGATACAATGCATGTAATATAAGGGAATATAATATTTGTTAATAAAATACTAAAAATTAATCAATAATAGTATATGATAGACAATATGTACATAAATATATGTGTGCTTGTGTGATATACTCATTGTCTATATATAATGTATTGTGTTTCGGTGATTATTATCGATTTGGCATTCTTGCAATCACTTATTTAAATTCGCCAGTAAATTTTTTTTAAATTGCTTATTATACATACATGTGTTTGGTTCATATATTAACTATATCAAATAATATTAAGTTAAATTGCGCAAGTTACATTACATTAAAGTGTTCCTTGTCCTAATTTAAAAATACTTAAACATCTCACAAGCCTAGAGAATGATCCTCTTGTTCTTCAAATGTGGGGACATATGGTAGACATACTTTATGTTTCTTAAAAGTCGCTACCATGTATGCACAGCTAACTTAAGGATAAAAAGCGCAGTCAACGGCAAGCATATAGCCAAGGCACAGTTGGTTCGCACAGAAACATATCCGCTTATTGCACAAATGATAAACATTTGCACATCGTATAAGAACTTGCCCATAATTTACACTACATAATGCACATATATTATAATTATTATTTCAATTGAACTCAATCTTTCCATCTTCGAATTCCTTGTTCATTGTTTTACACGATATTTGTTTCACTGGCATTGAAGCCGATAACAAAGACGAGAGAGAATGAAAGAGAATGAGAGGGAGAGAATGAGTGCAACCCTTTACATAATACTCTTTTGCTAAATTTCATAAATTCATAGTTTGATCGATAATGCATTCTCCTTCCTTGCTTTACAGCTGTCATCGGTGACACACATAAACAAGGGGGAGCAGTTTATGCAAGTTAATGCGAGTCTGCTCTACATGGTAATATGCCATAATGTTCGATTTGAACACAAGAGAAAAAAAAAAGACGAAGAAAAAAAAAAAAAGAAGAGAAAGCGAAAAAAGAAAAAGGGCTACAATGAGAACCGCTTAATACTCAAAAAAAAGACGCTTCTAAACAATTCATGTGAGATGCATGTGAGACTGCGTTGACATCATTATTATACATTATTAGACATATTTAATCAGTTTTACATGATATTCGGATAAGTAAGTAACGATACAACTTCTTTTTTGCAATAGTAGGTATTGATATTATTTCCTTATATATATCAACTAATTTACACATCGTCTACCAAATGTTTCAATTGCAATGCACTGAAACCTCCCTATTTCCTGTAAGCTATTTTCAAATTCTCTCCGAACCTCAAACGCCGAGACTATCAATACGACAATTAACGTATGGATCCGATCATCGCGAATGGGGGGGGGGGGGGCAATCAGATAAACGAAAAAAATGAAAAAATGCAAGATACTAAAATATGATATTCGAAAAACAATCATTATAACGTCGTCATTGTTCTTGCTGTTGTCTATCTATTACATAAGTATACAGCCAATACTCGGCGTTCTGTTAAGCTCTCTCACGTAAACATGTACTACCATAAATTTCATACAATAATATTTCCGTGAGTTTGTTTATAAATCTCCTTCATTCGTGTGCTAATACCATTAAGGATACATAATAGAAACCGACTAAAACGCTATTGGGAAAGACTACAAAGTTCTAAACACAATGTTTATCCGGTCTTTTTCCCTTTTCTACAAATATTGTCATTATCAAGGCAGGAGAACTCTTGCGCATTCACAAATATCACACTCCCATTTTATCGCGTGCTAATTACTGATGGCGACACAAAACCGTATGTTTATAAAATTATGTATCAGAAATAATCCCGTTAGTCGTGTTGTTGCCACAAAAGATGGGTTTTATTCACTACCTTTTATAGATTGGAAATCCATTCTTAGGTCACTCGTGGATTGATACACTATATCAATTGAATTGCAATTAACCCTTAATAATCTTTATAATAGTAGTATTAACACTTGTGAATTTATTGTTGTAAAACCTGTGCGTTTGTCTGTAACTGTAACCCACTACGTGCAGAATATGGTTTAGAAAAGGGTTGATTTATCACAACTCGTTGCCCAACAAAAAACCCAACGTACTCAAAAAAAGTGTGTGGGTGTTTTTCTACAACTTTTAAATAAACATTATCTTATCATGAACATGGACTCGGATAACAGCATTCTAGTAATTATATTACACAAACGAGAAAATATGCCAAGACCAGATCATACGGTATTCAACCCCCTTTTTTTATTTTCCGAGCAAGTAACTTATTATCGAGAAGAAGAAAAAGGGGTTGTTTACCGTTTTTCATGCTACACAAATGGAATTTGTGCTTCAGGGAGAATATTCCCTAATTCGAACAGCACAAATAACTAGTATTTAAAGTAGTGCTATATAAACCAACAGACCGTAAATGTGTGTTTGGTTCAATTAGTAGAAATCCTCCCCAAATAAAGATTGCTGCACATTTATTTACCCCAAATCGTTTATTTATTGTCTATATTGATGTGCCGTTATTGATTGGATTATGTTAATAACCAAGTAACACGAACAGGGTCCATAGATTCAAATTTGTTATTTCAAAAGACGAGCAAGTGTTGTAGCATACAAACAGCGCAATATATATTAGTCATAGGATACCTATAACAGCGTATTTTTATTACAAAGCAATTTAATGGCTCATGTCCGTATTCGATAGTTTATAAATTAACCGATATTCCGACGATAGCCGTCCGTCCTTGTTGTCACATTGAAAATACTCGAACAGTTGAATTACAAAAATATTGGTTCGTTGTACACGGTTTGTCTTATGACCGTAAATTGGTTATATATGGCATATACTGTAGCATCTTTTACCTATTTCAGGCAAAATTTTCTTATTCCTTGGTGTGATTTTCGATTTTCATAATCGACTGCTAATTTTGTACTTCACCGCTGACTAATCGTTAACTTTATATTCTTGTGATGTTATTAATCTTAAAAACTTTTCCCCTAAAAAAAGTTTCGGCATTATTTTTTGACATGAGTTATCTTATCGCTAAAGATTCAAAATCTAAGGATGTCAAAATGTCCATGTTAATCATTTCCTTTTATAGTACAATAATATCGTTAACGTTCATCAGTTATTTAATTCCACACCCCACCCACCATCACATCTATCCCTCATTCGCCCTCTCTCTCTCGCTCGCTCGCTCTCTTTCTGTCTATTTCAAATTTTCTTCCACACCTTGTGTCGAACGTCCAATCGAAATATCATCAATTTATTTCTTGGTAAATGTGGCGGGTTGAATCTTAAACCGAAAACCTAATACAAACGTCAGTGACATGTACACAAAGAAAGTCTAGATCTATCTTGTGAATTAGCCTTTCTGTAGATCCAATGCACATGCTAACCGAAAATAGCAGCATTCTAAATTTGTAGTCCTTGACCCAGTCGCAAAACGAGTTTGGTTCCACACGTCACCAATAGTAATCAGGTCAAACTTAAGCATGTCCGACATTAACAAGTAATCTTGCTCTCGATAAAGTAATATAATTATAAATACAACAAACGCGAATATACTAATAAACACAAGTGTCTGGTTACTCTTTTCACCTATTTTAAACCACTACAAATGAAAAAGTCTGATATGTATGCACTTGTCTTCTCGTACTCGAAACCGCCAAGTGTCTTGTTTCGTCTCCAACAGAGTGTCCATGTGAACAGTTTTTGTAACTTGAAAATGTAATGACAGAAGACCAACTAGAAACCTCGGATATAATAAACACACTAGTAAAAATCTAATCTGATGCATCTTTTACGAGTCGGCAAATCTCCCCATGTTGGACAATGTATTGAGACTATAAAATCATTGGTTTCCTTACTGAATTAATTGGCAATGTCTGTGTGCAAACGACTGTGCGGCTTTGCATTTTTTCAAGTTTTCATCACTGTTACCCGAGTATCGCAAGCTTGAGATATACTAATGGTGCTTCAATATAGATTTTAAATGTTAATCATCTTTTACCAAAGCCGTTTCAACTAATTAACTATTCTAGTTTTTCGAAACTTCCAAATTGTCAATTGCGCAAAAGCCACACAACTTACTTGTTTTGTGATTCTCTATTGTAAACTTGTAAAATAGTCATACATTTCTTTCCTTTTAGCAGTCTGGTGACATATTCGTGATATAATAACAGTTGTGTTTCATGTTAAACCCAATTTAGTTAAATTTAAATCAGCCCAAGTCAGGTGCCCATAAATTCACCCCATCCATCCCAAACATCGTTGGCTTAAACAACAACAACAACGACGACGACGACTGCGTAACATCATCATTAAACAAGAACAGCACATCAACAAAAACAAAAACAACGACAATCCTTTTATTGTTTACAATTTTTTGGGTCGCGTTAAAAATGGCCCGTTCGATCATTGCTTTAGATCGCTACTATATATTAGTGCATACTTGGCAAGCGGGCTGTGTGGTCATATTAAGGACAAAAACCCATTTACTTAAAATAAAAAAAAAAAAAAAAGTACATTGTTTAATGGGACAATTTTGACTAAAATACGCATGATAAATGCTCATAACATATTACGTATTCATTTCGTTCTAGACCACTTTTTTTTTTATTCCTGCTCGTTGCTGCAGATTGTATTACACTAACGTCATGGTTTCCTCGTATAGTTGCAGCAAAGGGCAGAGAAAGAGAATATATAGCTTAGCTAACAACCATCATTGTCGTTTTGAAACGATGTCTTACTAATCAAGCTACCGAGTAAAGGGATCGACGATTACACTACATAGTACCATCTTTATATGTCGGCCGAAATGAATGCTTGCAACTTTCGATTGTAAACATTTTTTTTTCTTCTCCTGTCTGTGTCTTCCGCTCTTTTCCGTTCTCACCCTCAATAACCGCTTATCCAATGAAAGCTTCCCGTAGCGTCAAAATGTCCAAGCGCAAACGGGCTTACATTCAATAAGATATACAAGATTAACCATAACACAAACTTGATGCAACTTTGTCTATGAGTACATTAAACTTACCCAGTTTATTAGTGATTTTAGTGATAATAAAAAAATACCGGTTTGTGCCTTACTTCTTTGTTCTACGACCGGACAAATTAAGTAAACTATTTGTTTGACAGAGATTATAACATAGATAGCGGACATTTAAGTAAGGTTAAATTTGGTTTTACAATATTGATATTAATTACGTAGTATGCGGAACAATTAAATTATATTATTGTCTGACAATCATCACTAGCGAGTGACGAAATCGCAGTAAAACCTACCTTTTATATTTATATCACTTATCACACTGATGATGTGCAAGCATAGCATATATGACAGTGACTTGGACCACCATCATCAAACATCAACCAATACCAAAACACCCAAGGGGACAAATAAAAACGGCACAACCCGAAGACAACAAATCTGCATTCTACGATCAGTAATACAACACAATACAAAAAGAAATGATCACAATGATGCAATATGAATACGCAATAATATATACACAAAAACAAAAGATTAAATAATTCATTCAACAATATTTGTCCTGTTCTCCTCCCTCCCTTCCCCCCCCCCCCTTTCTCTCTCCTCGGCCCTGCTTCGCCCATTCTCATATTTTGATCTCTTTCCCGTTGTCCCCGCCTGTCTTAATTGTGCCACCAAGGCCTTTGAAATGGCGTAAGGACATTGTGTTACTGAGGACAAAGAAATTAATTTGGGGCAAGAGAATAAGTCAATAAAGGTAAATATGGCGGATTAATCGTTTCCGGAAAGGGAGGACGAGAGGGGAAAAAAGGGGGGAAAGAAGGAAAGGAAAAAGTGGGAAGGAAATGAGTTTTGGAAAATTACATTAATTGACTTTAATTGATAAATTAAACTATATATTGCATATTTACGCAAAGAATTTTTTTTATCCCTTATTATCTGCAATCATGCATGTAATGCATATGTAAAACTTATGAAGTGGCCTTGCATTCGACCGGCATCTGACCAATTGACTTTTTCCTAATGCATGAAGTCTTTCAACAACTACGCAGTGTTTTGTTCTCGACTCACTCCTTTCCATTCACTCATTCATGTGCTCATTTATGCCACTCGTTCAATGTCAATCATTTATTCCCACTCGCCCACTTCCCTCACTCACTCCATTAATATTTTACTTACTTCCCAATTGGGTGTTTATTACCTTTGAATTTACCCAATTCCGTAAATACCGTCACTGTGTTCTTTACATATTCCAACCTAAATAGTCACATCATTTTCGTCATTAGATCTAATCTGGCTGATAATACTTTTTCGTCAAGCACAATACACATCCCGGAGATCTGAGTTAGATCAAATAGATGGCCAAGTAGATGATGCAAGATGGATTAGATATTAGAATGGTTTGTTTTGATATAATGAACCAGATATTTGCATGTTTTTTTTGTCGAGTATAATAGGCTAGTCCGGTTTTCTTGACTTGTCTCCATCAAGTCAGATTATTAATTTATGGCATACGAATGAATAGCATGCAAGTACTAGTTAAATGTAGTGCCAATTCAACAATTCAACAAATCAACAAATATAATACGGACCGTTACATCTCCTTGCGAATTTCTATTGGTTTATAATCACGCAGTGAATTTGTTCTTAGTGAATGGTGTCTAATGTTAGTAGACTGTTCCAGACCCCCCCCCCCCCAACCTTTCCAATTTCTCTCTCGTTAAGCACGTTGTAATGCATAATAACATGAAATGGGTTTGGACTCGATTTACAATAATCTTATAATACACTATTATACGTTATGTAGCCAAGTATTTACAAACGGTAGAACAAATGGTTAACAGGAGGGGAAAATATATGGACGATATTGTACAAAATGGTTTAATATATCCATAAAAGAATATTATATATCAACATTAATGATGTATAGTCAACCCAGCAATTACTCACCCAAACATGTAACAATGCATCTTTTCGAAACTACAAACTATAACCAAACCTGACGACATCTTCCTTCTCTGCCACTCTTTTTTTTTTTTCTCACAATTGATATATCCAGTACATTTTTTTATCTTGATTGTCTTATGCATGTTTAGATATGATAATCTTATCTTACTATCATACATTTACATACATCAGATCACAAGACGAATGACAGATGCACAATGTAACAGTAAAAGTAAAATAATATAAATAACTTAAAATGTGTGCATAAAATAGAATGACTTTTGTCATTCTGTTACTCAACGAGACGGTTTGTGTAATTGGTAGGATTTACTATTGTAATGGCATTTATGGCAAGTATGGCCAAATGGACTTGCCATAACGCCTATTGCCCATTGTGGGTAAGGGGGGATGAATAAAAAAAAAGGGGGCGGAAAGAATAATGAAAGAGTACATGGAAGGATCGTAATTCACACTTGATATAATTTGGGTAGTGAGGCGCAATGATCATATGACTTGAAGTATGAACTAGCAGATCAGATTGATTGTTTCATATACCTTATTCTTACGATTAGTCAAATATGGAATGTCTTAATAATCAGTAAACGAATACTATTCTCAACATTTTTTTTTCCATTGTGACATCCATTAATATTAACGCTTGCAAATAAATGTTCATTCGTCCATTGCCCTAATTGTGGAATAGCAATATACAAGACTTTTATACAGTCCATTATGAATCAACAAAAATCATATTAACCGAGACACTAAATTCATTCTAAACATCAAAAAAAAATTTTTTTTTTTTCCTTTTTTTCTTCTTTTTTTTTTTCTTTTCTTTAAACTAGCTCCAATTGTACAACTCAATAACAGGAGGAATCGGAAACGTCTTTAAAGCGCAAGACAATCGCATTGCATTCACACATTATTACATATGAATACATGCGAGGGCATTATAGGGATTGGTAGAAAAAGACGCGATTTTTTGGGCGGGGGGAACGCGGATGCGCAAGAGTTTGAACAAACGACATTGAAATGCAATATTCTTGTCTTCATTCACGACATAAAGTGGTAAGTCAATAGCATTACATGGTGCAATAATTAAATGTATGAAAATGGCGCAAAACCCATAGAACAAATAACGATAACGTGCAACCCAAAAAGTGAATTCGTAAATGTATTGATGATCTGCGCCTTTTTCATTTGTGTCCTTCAACTTCATATGTGAAACTTGGTTCAATTCTCCGTCTCCTCTTTACCACTTGCCCCCCCTAAAAATATACATAAAAGAAGAAATAATTGAACACACCTGTTGTCGTTCTATTGACTCGTGTCAGTGTTCTAAATGGTTTCTAATTGACTCGGAATGAATTGGTTTTCATAAAAACTTGTATAAAATAGAATGACCCTGCCTTGATATTGCGACATCCCCCCTTTTTCATGTCGATCTTTGTTGGTTGCCGTATTATTGGAACTATTTCGTGGGAATTAAACAAATGCCTCCTAAATGTATCAAATGGGAGTGCCTTTTTTTTTCTCACACCCAACGGAATCATTCATTGGCGCACGTTGCTGAGCCAACGCAAATAGATCGAAGGACGAGAAACAAAGAAAACGTGCTTTTTGGTATATATGATTACAAACTTACATTGCGAAAATTGTGCACGTGCAGTTCGTTGTCCAACCTGATTGACGCTTTTACTTGATCAATAGAAGAATCGAATTTTGATTGGACTTGGAAACTATACATTATATATGATGTTTTAGAAAAGCCAAGCCGTGTACTTCTGCAGACTGTAAAGAGAGAGTTGCACGAACACAACGAATGCATAACAACAATCCGCCACAGTTGTATGCCGCGCATCTCACAATTTATATATTTGTGATACACAGGTTTCGGTTCTTCGTTATTATTCATCCAATCAGGAGTGTTATCACGTGTTTAATTGTGCCAGAAGAAACTCTAAATTCACGATACCGACTACAAGATTGTTAACGTTATAGTGGTTATGCATGATATTCGGTCGCCCCATATAAAAACCACATAAAAACCACATAAAAAACACAATAAATCGCAATCGAACAATCGATACGTTGAAACTATCAAAAACCAGAAAATGCGTTCAAAACACCCATCAGCACACACCGAACGTACCTGCTGCCCACTATTCAGACTGTCTACAGGTTCCTATGAGCTTCTAGGTTTCAAACCTTTCATGCATCGCGTAACTCAATGCAGGGGTGGCGCCCAAACCAACCCTATTTCATAGAACAATCCCTTCAAACTGGAAAGACATTGTAATCAACAATGATTTCCACGATTGTTTGCGCATGGCATACCTGAGCTTGTCTAAATGAGTAAAAATGGTCATCATCCTGAATGGTGAGAAAATTGTTGTTGGGTTGTGTGTGTCTTTGGCCTTGTCGGAACGCTGAAGATTCTTTTAGATTGTGTATGTTGTTGTCGTCGTTGTCGTCGTCATCGTTACTCCATAAGGTTGCCATGATCGTGTAGATATCGTATTCTCCACATAGATACTATGCACATATACCAAGTAGATTATTGGTTGGCAAGCGCGAGTGAGCATTGATGAGTCATCCAGGAGGTTAAAAGATCTATTAACAGTTTAAAATCAAAAGTATAAATTGTCTTGTTAGAACATCTCTTCCTCTCAGCCACAATATATGCACGCCTATGCAATTCATGTGTAAATAATATTATGTAGAATCGAGTGTGAAATAGAAATGATACGATGTTTTTTGAGTATACGTACAATAGTAATGCGCGATGAAGAAACATCCTGATGATTGTTGGCCTTTCCGGGAAGACTGATGTAGGAGTAATGTGTGAGAGTAATCCCTCTCTCATTAACTGGCAACACGCATATCAACGGATCTGAATCATTATAATATATGTTTTAATAAGTTATACTCGCACAATACGTTATGCTCCGTCTGCCTACAATCTGGTCTTTGTACGTACAGGCAGGCGTATACAGTATATCTTGCACGTATACATAATCTTACTTGTTAGTAATTTCGCCACTAATATGCGCCGTTATTCGCCTATTCGCGCATATACCATAGGGCAACTGGGACTCGCCGAACCCACTCCGTCGTTCTATGGGTTTGCCATAGATTTTCTCTTCACTTTATCCCATTCTATCAAACTTAGGCACACAGGACAAACTGCTCAAACTCGCCACAATCGAGCTGGCTATTGCTATCTCTGGTCCACGTTCTTTGCTGTGCGGTCTTGGAGCGTTTGAACATTTTGATAATTGATTGAATGCATAGATGGAATGCGTATAATTGGTAGTATATAATTGGTTGACGCAGATCATGATTTTCAGGTCACGCATTTCGTTTTAGAACCTTCCACATGATCTAAATATATCTGTAAATTATAAATTTTCTTTATAGTTTCGTTTATTAACAATTATTAAAAACATCCATATTTGCTCTCTATTGGTTATTTCATAGAACGACTCATTAATTGATTTGCAACAGGATTGTTATTTCATACTTGCGCAAATATGTCAAAGAAACAATAAACGGCGCGAGGGTCCGGATCTCCCCCGAACCGCAGTCACCAACCGGCGTGTTTATTCCGAGATGCACAAACGGATCGAATGGTTTTAACAAAGAAAATAAAAGGTTTGTTGGTAAAACTTTATTCAACGCAGAAAGGTTTCGCGGTTCCATCCGCCGAGATCATTTCCAATTTATAAAAATTTCGGGAAAATTAAAATTAGAAAATGTCTTTTTTTTTTGTTGCATAATTTGCTCTACAATTATTCGGCTGATTAGCGAAAGCATTCTGTATGTCTCAATATGGATAACCAATGTATATGCATCAACGTTTTCCAGTGTAGAATGCTGCGACCCAAAAAATGCCCGACAAAAAGTCCGTTTACAGTGACATAATTACCACCAAAGCGGGACATTAGACAAGTTTCTTATGGAAAAGGACAACCCGAGGCATATCATTTTTCTATTTTGTGCTGCTGATTCTCCCAAATAATAAACCAGTTAATTGTCAGTTATTACATCACTATTGAAAGATGTTTCTTGGAACAATATTAGATAAGATTTGACTGGTCTTAAAACTCATGACCTACAATGCAAAACAAACAGAAGAGGAACTATCGCACGTTGTTTAAATCAGAGATAATATCTCTTCTAAGAATAATCAATTGCACATTATTACTTCAAACCTGTATAATAATAAATATCCTTTATAATAATAGTACATTAATGCTTTGAAATCAGCATATTATTATTATAGAATAAACAGGGTAAGACATTCTCAGATGTAAAATTGAATTAATGGAACTGAAATCTATTGTATTATAGTCTTATTATGTCGTCGCAATAGATAGATTAATATCATTTATATCAAATAGCCAATACGTTGTTTTTGCTTCAGTCTTAGAAATGCGTCTCTTCGATAAGTGTTAACTAAAATATAATGTCAATAATTACCTGGTACAGCATAATTTTGGGCTTTCAGTAATCTTAGGGGTTAAACTTGTTTCCTGCTAATGAACATGACAAGATCGCGTCGACTGTAGTCAATTATTATTATGTTTTGATTATTATCTCTCTAAAGAACTACTACTCTTTAAGTAAAAGACGCGCTACACCAGATGTTGCTTTATAAACGCATTTTTCAATTATAAAAACACGCTAAACAAGCTTGCAAAACACGTATAAATTTAAAAACAAATTATTCATCATCTCGGTTGAGTATATAATAATTTACAAAGTAAGTTTGGGAATTCTGCCATAACGCTTATTAATTCAGAGTCTTTGTTATTTAATATACGTGTCAAGCACGCATTTAGCGTTCATAAACAGTTAGTGCGATTCCGAGACTCGCGGGTATTGCTAAAATTAAAATTTACATATTTTGCATCTTGGCCGTTATTTTGCATCTCAACGTAGTGGATGGCAATCAAGACTATATAAGAACTCGGGAAGTCCCAAAGTAGAATCTCCAAGTCAAATTCCAAAATTGTTGTTGGAATCTTATCGCTCTCTTATTATAGTTGTCACTGCAAGATGATACGCTGCTAGTTCATAAATATTTATACCGTTTGTTCTTCAACTGGCTTCTCATTACTAGCCAGTGGACAATATTAAAAAAATAGAATTCCGAATACAATCGGAATTTCGATAAAATTGCGCTAACATAAAATGGACGCTACGAATTTTACTCTATCATATGATCTCGGGATAACGGGGGAGGAGTTGATTTTTTTTAATATTCTTTAGCGGAGTGAATAGAACATCGACCCACTGTAAGTTCACATCAATAGATAGAAAGTAACTGCATTCACAATAAGGCCACTGAGGGAGTGAGCAACAGCTATTAAGAGCGCGTGCACGCAATTGCCCAAGCAAGTCTTTTACAATGTGCGAAACCAATAGAGACAAGATCATAATTCATCTATCATAAACTCGACAGACCGGGCATATAATTCGTACACTGCCTCTGAAATCTTGATGTCACGATCATCCAATCTTGCAATTGTTTGCATGCGCTCAAGGTTGTGGGTGGGTATAGTGGGTGATGGTGATATCGTCTATGTAAACTTTCGTCACACTCTTCCCGTAATGTCATTAGATGCCGTCAAAAGCTTCACTATACAGGTTTGGCAGCAGGATCGAGTCCAATACTTTTCATTTTGACGGCTATTTCGAAAAGATAGTCATAACATTCCGTCATTGCCTTGGCTTTTTCCCATGTTTCTATGTAAACAAAAAAGGAAACGTGGTAATGAATAACTTGAATCCATTAAAAGATACGAGGGACTGATACCTACTACCCCAAACATATACACCATGCCTTCGCACTAAAACGGCGTTTGTCTCTGGATAATCTTCGATTGCCTGTATTTGAAAAACCGGAATATTTTTTAATGACTATTCAATAGATCACTCTCTTTCTAACTGTTGATAACTAACTCTGTTTAACCATTAAAACACACGTGCTAACGACTGCGCCTACATACCCACTTCGCTATATACACCATTACACAATTCCAAGTTCATACACGACACCAACACACGACACACAACACACGACACACGACACACGACACACGACACAACCCCTCCTTTTCAAACCTTGGCCATCCGTGACGTCAACTCTTCTTCGAATAGAGTATTCTCCACAATAGGAACGACGAGCATCTCATCAAACATCATATTCTCATTTGTGGATCCTTTCTTAATACCTTTGATCATCTCTTGGTGCGTGATTTTGAATTGGTCACCATACAATAACGTCACCATGACGGCATTCTGCGAATGAGTATGAACACATGCACCAGCCTGTCTCATAGTATATGCATTAAAAAACAGCGGCGTGCAGGCGGAAGGTTTGAGAGACGGTGGAGAGCGAAGGTTGCATCGCGTAGAAAGTGTGAGAACAAAAAGATCCCGTGGAGAAATTCGTTCTTTTTGGACTCCTATAGTATTAATGAGAGAGAACATTAATTAAAGTAAGATTATTTACATTACGCATATTAACACTAAAAGATGGACGGTTACATGGACAATCAAAAGAGAGAATGCATACTGAATCATAAGAATAGAAGAATACGCAAATTGTCAAACATGCAATCTTGATCTGTCAAATAACCGATGAAAATTGACATTCTACCTGATGGAGCAATGTATACATTATCCCTGTTACGTCCAAATTCATACGAACGTATGATCAAGAAACATGTAAGCGCTTGCAAACTTTTGTCTTTGCTCCCAGATCATGACGAGAGAGAATAATAAAGTATTCTCTATCTTACAAAAAAAAAAAACTCAAACAAGACATGTTTCATACCCATTACGTATTGATATACCTCCCCTAACATCAGAGAATATCCCGGGTCAGTCATGGATGTCTTTACAATCAACAAACATGACACACACACATCACATCATTACTCACCCAGTGCCCGTAACCCATCCCAGAGAATAAAATAGTTTACATAATTCAGGTATCAAATTCGCCGGATGAAGTGGATCAGATGATAGCACTAGTTCGTCCGTATCAGGATCAGAATCGGTGGGTGCCGCCGTTCTTTTTCTCACTGTTCTTACTTTCTTGGTAACGGACATTGTTTTATGATGAAAAAGAAAAAATTTGGTGTGACATCGGATCATCATCACAGAGCCGAAATAAATAGAACACAAAGCGTTATTGTGTTCCAATCTTATCCTTTAAATATAATATCGGCTACTTGGTTTTTGCGTGAATGACTGATAGTAATTTGAACGTTTAGAACAAAACAATTACGCTTCTTATTTATTGCTTAATCATACAGAACATGCTCATGGCTGATTCTTGTGTCATAACAATCACTTAATAATTCTTTATCACAAATCGCTTGTTGTCCACAATTCCACATACATTTCCGTTCTGTCCCGCACAAAACTCTCTATATATGTTTCTCTTATTTCTAGTGTGTAACATCCATGTCAAGACTATTTTAAAAAAGTAAGTCGTACCGTGCAAAAGAGTTGTCGTAAAATAAATGCTCTGCTCGCTTGTCATAGTGTATTGATCTTTTGCTTATAACTTTCCATGATAACTTAATTTGCGATTGATTCGATCCCGTGTTACGTCCATTCTTGCCATCAAAACATTGCCTTATCGATAATTGCTAGCCCTCAAGTTTGTTGCCAAATAGAATATGGCGAGGCGGTCAACTTTGACCATATATAGGCAAATTAAGATGCGTTAATTCATAAAGGGTTACTGGAAAAGTAAAAAGTCCATAAATTCATTCGAATGTACATGATTATCGGTAGAAGTAGGAACTGTTTGACGCTGTGTGGGAGGAGATAAACGTGGAGACGGGGGAGGAGATGTGGTTGGTGATGAAAAAGAAGGCTGGTTTGGAGAAAGAAGCGGAGATGGGTGTTGTTGCAGACGCTGTGACGGTGGAGGACTTGGCCACCATGCAAGTTTGGACGGCAAAAATACAGGTGGCGAGGCGACCATTCTAATATCTGGCGTGGAGAGAATAGACTGAGAATCCAAAATAGGTATTGGTAAACGGTCGGGTTTAGACTCGTCGGTCTGAAAAAATAACATCTCCACAGCGTTTGACGGGGACGCGAGTGGTGTGGTGGTTGCAGACGGAGGGAGACTGCTGTCTTTTTTCGAGCACATGTGAGATATGTTATGGATTAATGGTCGCGTAATATGCAGATACACACTAAAAACAGGATAACAACCAAACATTAATTGTGATAAAAGCTGGGAGTTTTTATAATAAAATGGATGTAATTGTGCCAACTACATTCCACAAAACTAAACAAAGATTGGACCACCAAAAGGAGCATGAATTGGTTTTAATTTATAAAACAGAGGTGCCTAATTACCTTTTTGACGGTAAAAATCATATCGCACAGTTTGGTTTACTCGACCATACAAAATTTTTTCATAAAAGAGATATTGAACTCTTTGACGATCAAACTGTGATTAGAAAATTTTAAATGTAAAAATACTTTGATGTTGCTACAATATGTTTTGTATACAGTATTGTTTACCATATTAGATAGAATGCATGATATTAAACGCATTTAATAATAGACGGTTAGTTGTACCATCTGAAGTAATAGAGCTTAACTTGTTCATCGAATAAAAGGCTGTACCGTTACTCGTCCGTTCTTGCTGTTAGTTTCGCTGTTTCTTACAAATATAAAGGTTTGTGTTATGCACCCCGCATCATCCAAGTTCGTGTGCTGTTAGATAGCACACTGCTGGTCTATGCGGAGTTTTGATCTGGTTACACCAGACTGACTTTTAACTGTGATATTCAACCGGCAAATAACATTGTTTCGTCAAAACAGTACCTGTTATATCACCAGTGTATATTCATATATACTCAGCAGTCGTATATGTCACTCGTTTATTGACATGTCTAACACTTATTTATTCTTTTCTTTCTTTGAATTGTCACCGGGTAAAAAGATTAGCCCTATTCCCATAGAAGATCGACAGAAATCCCACCATATTAATGAACATGGTCTCTGGGAATCGGGGATCAGTATGCAACTCGATACAATGCATGTATTATAAGATAACTGGTCTGAGCATGCAAGAAGTATGGTTTAGCACAATATTATTAAGCTTTAATATTATCGGGCTTAACACCAAAATGATGTAATTATTGTTCCTGTCGGGTCAAATAAATCGTCGATAATCTTTTGCTGCACTGCCCACTCTCACACACGTTTCTACGTAAGCCACATTGCCTCCCTCAATAAGGACAAGAAAAACAACCAGTGCATCGTAGGAATTTGAGTAATGCCAATACATGTACTGTTAATGATTAGTTTTCATTATTTGCAATAACCATCGCATACAGCGGTATAATGTTAACAGCATGAGAAATGAACATACTTGTACACGCTCGCCAATGATCAAGCCACGTAGGTTTTTTAATTCTTTATGCACAAATTGTAAACAATATCTTCTGACATATAAGTATACTCAAACTTCAGGCAACTTGGTTTTGTTAACAATTCAGCCTTCAAACATTTGTTTACAATGACTTCTTCGTTTACACTTGCTAGTAGTTTCTATTAACAAAAAGATCGGGTATCATAGAGAGTTCGCAACAGTCATCGGAGAAGTCGAGAACTACATATTAATATGTAGTCTTTTGGTGTTTGCTAATGATTAATCAGATATATATCTTAATTTACACAATAAGTATTTATTAAAGTAATGATATAAACACCATAGTTTGTTTAATCTCACATTTATACCAGTCAAATTACCGAATATTATTGCTATAAACATCGACGTAGAAGCATTATGCCGGTTAACATTTAAATATTGTAATTTTGTAAAATTATTTAGAAAATGTAACAAAGCTTGCATTTGTAACCTTTTTAATACATACATATTGATCAATCCATTAACATGTGATTTAATCACCCAATAATAAACATGGTTTTGCCTGTTACAGAACTTTAAAATAATAATTATGTTAATGTGGGTTTAAACAATCCGTCGACAAGGCATTGTTTTACGATTATCAAAAAACGTGTGCGACATACATTTGTTCGCTGAGTTGAGTGAAAATGCTTTATATCGAAAATTTAGTGGTTAAAAAAAGTCACACGACGTCAGACACAGCTAAAAAGTCTTTTTTTTTTCTCGTGAGGGGAATATCATTAAATATCAGAGATTATTCTTTGGAAAAAAAACGGGGTGTAATTTTTTCATTCCGGGCACAGATCGGGTACTGCGTTCTAAATTAGAAGAACAACATTTCTGATGCATACAATCAAGCAGTAAAACGTATAAATTATGAGATAACGTTTGATAAGATCATAATTCGTACCCCTTACTTTTAAGGAGGAGGTAGTACTAATACTGCGGAGTTGCTAATATTACCATCAACAAATTTTTTCTCATTTTCAAATTTGTATAATCGGCTTGGTCGACAATAGTAAACGGCATCCGTAAATAGGAACTGGGCTTCGACTTACATTGTGAATGTCTAATATGGTATATACGAGAGCTGTTATCGTAGCGGATCAAGTCCGAGGCGTCGGCGGCATGCAGCGCTTTTCGTTGTGCTTAAACAACATGTATGTAAGATTTGTGAGAATTGACAACCAATATTGAGAACTGGCTTCCGAAAAAGTAAAAAATAATCATGCATGTCATAGTGAATTCGGATGGAATTTGTATGGCTTAGACAGAGAACGTTGAAAAACGAAAACATGTTTGCGCCACCCATCGATAGTTTGTAGTCTTGAACAAACGTTAAAATAAACAAGATTGTTTGTTTAACTTTATCGCTGCGCTAATCAAACGTTTGAACAAGCAAAAAATAATTCGTCATCTTATGGCCGGGAATGAATTGTCATAAGTACTGAGTAGATTCGTTATTGTATAGCATAAATACGGCATTAAATACCTTTTTTGATATACAATGTATCACACTGTACAAACAGCCCAGTTATGATATAAGGATATCTCATGTTATCGTTACGTAATCGTGATGTAATAACGATAGAAACCAGGATTGTTTAGCGGACCTGCTGATATTACAATAGTATCAATTGTCTTAAGTATTTTATGCACAAAAACACCAGCCACTAACCAAATTTACGTTTATTGTGATTATATCATTAATGTTATGTAATTGTTGACATTTGTTACTTAGTCTTTAAATAATCTGTACTTAATTATATTTATCTTAGCACCATAAAATAAACTAATTACTATCCCAATCGGTATTCATCACTTATCAATTTGCTTAGCTGACATACAATATATAAAAGATAAAGAATTAATTAAAAGGTACAGCTGATGCATATGATAAAGTTGAACAGCCAATCAAATTCTATTTAACTGTTTTAAATACTCAGGGTTTTGTTTTTGTAAACAGCAATAAGTTTGTTGTCCAAGAATATTGCTTTTCTTATTCTTTGAAAAAATTTCCTGTTACTAAGCCTACAGAATAATCCAACTTAGTGTTTTCTGTTTTAACCAGTCAATTACTGTCCACTGGTAACATTCTATTTTAAAAATACCGCTTGAATAATCTTTTAATTAGAAGTAATTGAACAACTTATGTTACGAAGTCTTACATATTACTCACATGTTAATACTTGTTTGTAGAATAGTTGAATATTTTCCAAATGTACTGATAGACGTTCTTACAATTAGATAGATGCTTATCAATATATGGGTTTTAGGGACAAAACTAATTAATATTTTAGTTTAGATATCAGATACTATATGTGTAAAATGCTCAACAAATTATTTTTATCTCATGGAGGTTGACAAAAATATATATAGAACATAAATGTCTTTGGTATTTCAAGTTTAACTTTCATTACTTATGCTATCGGTGTCAACCAATTCAAAATCAATTATGTTTGCTTCGCCGAAACTTTTTCAAGAAAAAAAAACCTGTAACAGCGTTTAGACCAAATTATCAGAAACAGTTTACAAAAATTACACTCATTAACTGGTACATATTAGTTGTCAAAGCTTCTACACCAAACTATAGAAATATTAATGCACAGACAATAGTATTACCATGACAAATAGCGTATAATAAAAAGACACACACTAATGAAAAAAAACTATAGCGAGTCTTTGTTATTCTCGGCTCGCAAACTTACGATTTAAATCTGCTTACTTTTAAATGTAGACATTACATTTATGAAACAGAAAACGGCGCGTACTTTAGCGTACACATACTGTATCTTGTTGAGTAGCAATGTTACGTACTAAAAAAAACGTAATAGTAGACCAACTGCAAATGTATTACTATTGCGTGCAATTAATCGGTATGTTCTTCTCTTCTTGTAAAACTAATTGATTGATCAGGCATTTGGTTAAGAAAAATTATAAATAAAAAATTACCAACACAAGGAGCAATGCTTACATCGACTCATAAAATAGTGTTGCCGTCACCTCCATGACAATCGAAAAAAAATTTACTATAAATGCTTTCCAATTGCTATTAACACGATAAAAAAAAATACAAGGCGGCCCGCACAAGATTTGATGAAATTTGTATAAAGAAAAGGCTTGTCTATTCGGTTTTCCTGACATAATGGATAGTAAACTGTATGTTGAGAATATCTTTCATATTCAAAGCTAGGCTAAAAGTTTAACAGAACAGTTATTTGGTCAGCGTTCTGATCAGCTTAGTAGATTCAATGAAGTGACGATGGTTGTAAAGAGGTTATTGAGAAAAATAGTAAACGAATGTCTTATTAATTTATATTAGTAAAATTCTGCTCACTTTAAACTTTCTTCATACAGTAAGTTTTCCAATTGCTTTACGTAACAACACAATCTTTTTAAGGGAAACATCAATAAGTGGGATTTGATTCGCAAAATCATTCTGCCGGGTATTAGTATCGATCGAGTAATGCAAATGAAATGAGTGATAAAACACTTTCGGATATTAGTCATTACTGTCTATCTGTTTACATAACTATTAACATTTGTCAATACCCCTGTCACTGTGTGTATCTTAACACTCATGACCTATATAACAGTTATAGGTCTTGTTCAAGAAGAGAAAGAGCTATCACATGTTTATTATTTGTTTAAAAGTTTATGGAATAAGGCCTCGTTTCCACGTTATGAAGATAATATATCGTACAACAGACTAAAGTCGCTTATATTTAAGGAAATTTAGCTCGTTTCTAGTCATACAAACTTTTCATTAATACTTTTGCGTTTCGTTTCTACTAAGGATATTACAACTATTTAAACAAGTGCTTACAGTTAAATCTCCCTATCATATAATCTAATGGAGTTAGTAGTTAAGAAAATTGACAATACATATTGTCATTACCGACGCATATAAACGTAAATAGAACGGTTCATTCGAATATTTAGACAAAACGTACATATACAAGTCAACCCGACTTTTATGTCATGCTAGATTTCTAGTCTTTGCGTCCTTTATAATAAAAAACTATCAGACATTCACAATACTAATAAAACATACGTATCATACTAAAACCTCCTCAGGTTTACAAATAGCTTATTAATATCTGTAATCGAACGTTCAATTGTTCTAACTAATCTCTTCCCGTCCCCTCCTCCGCCTCCCCTCCCGACATCCATAAACCATTTCTGTCTCCGATTTACGAATAATGACAGTCATTATCAAGTTTTTCTTTTTATTTACGTTGTTATTAGCAGCAGTTGTTATCCCGTCATTTTCAGTTCAGGCTGATAACAGTCTTGCACCTTTGATAACTTATCCGGATGGTGAAGCCATTCCCAACCAATATATCGTGGTGTTCAAAGAAGGAGTCGCCGACAAAAAAGTAAACAAACATCATGACGACATTAATGCCCTGCTCTACGAGGAAAAAAAAAGATTCAAACGAGGGTTGTTGAATGAATTAATTTCTGGTATTGAATACACTTATGACTTTGATACGTTCCAAGGCTATGCTGGTTACTTCCCAGAAAACGTGTTGACCAAGATCAGAGAGAGTGATGATGTAAGTTTGACAGATCTTATTTAGACAGGTATATATATAATCAACGCCGATCCCACTATTATCATTATTTGTACCCCCCAGAGATGAGGGGAAAAAATTTCTATTCTAAATACCGTTTCAAGTAACACGACGATCAAAATACAATGACTAATACTTACATCGCCTGCCAAACCCCCAACTTTTTCCATTCACCATTCAGGTTGCATTTGTTGAGGAAGATCACCAAGTATTTCCAAACGTTGTTCAAAAAAATGCTCCATGGGGTCTTGCTCGTATATCGCATCGTGAGCGATTGGTCCGGGACACATATAACAAATACTTGTATGATGAAACCGCTGGAAAAAATGTTACGGTCTACGTACTCGATACAGGAGTGAAGATAGATCACGCAGAATTTCAGGGACGTGCTCGATTTGGTGCCAATTTTGTACGGGGTGAGCCTGACACTGACATCAACGGGCACGGAACTCATGTTGCTGGGATCGTTGCCGGAACTACATTTGGAGTCGCCAAAAAGGCTCACATTGTTGCTGTCAAGGTTTTGGGTAGGCGGGGTGGTTCAAACATGGCTGTTATTAAGGGTATAGAATGGGCTGTGAGGGATCACAGGAAAGCCGTTGCAGAAGCCAAAAGAACAGGGAAAATATTTAAAGGTTCTGTCATTAATATGAGTTTGGGAGGTCGTAAGAGTCTCGCTTTGAATAAGGCTGCTAACGATGTAGGTATCTCGTTTTTGGAACAAATCAATGAAAAAAATTTTAACATACTAATCACGTGCTTGTAATTTCATTTAGGCTGTCGATGCTCAAGCTGTCGTCGTCGTAGCCGCTGGCAACGGTAACGCCGATGCTTGCAAATTCTCACCATCTGGAGCCGAAAAAGTAATCACTGTTGCCGCTTCCACGATTGAAGATACGCGCGCTTGGTTCTCCAATTGGGGTATATGTGTCGATCTTTTCGCTCCTGTAAGTATATGTTTATTGTTTGCTTAGGGTGCATTTGGATGATTAATTACAACCCCACACTCTCTCGCGTACTTGACATTAAATACAGGGCAAAGATATTTTGTCGGCCTGGATAGGATCTAACACGGCTACAAGAGTCGTCTCCGGTACTTCCATGGCATCTCCGCACGTAGCTGGTCTTGCTGCCTATTTCCTCGCTTTGAGCCGAACCCCGTTAAAACCATATCAAGTTCTTATGAAGCTTATTTTTGAAGCTACAAATAATGCTCTCTGCGAAGTCTCGAGCAGTCCTAATCTCCTGGCATATAATGGCTTCGTGCACAGTGAGATTAGGGATGACTTATTGTCTTGGAAATAATGTTTATGTATTTTACATAGTTTGATAATAAAAATTTTATCTAGCAAGTATCTCGGCAGATTGCAAATAGCCAATGTTAATATAATAAATATGACATTTTGTATTCCGTGTCCGTTAAGTAATTACTGTTTATAGCTTTAATCTCGTCTCTGGCTTATCATATAATATATGGGGCAGACTGCAACAAACCAGACAATAGGAGGCTATGATCATATTAAAATGATCGGCAAACCGTCACGTAAATAACAAACTTGCGGGGTTTAGTTTATGGTAATCGCAGTAACGAAATTTAAATAAATGATTTTATAATCACGTGTATTATATAATAAGCTGTTAATGAGGGGTACATTGTCCGGGTAATCATGGTAATCATGGGGTAGGTCTGCTTATTCATGAGAGTATACGGTATTCAACATCATAAATTTATTTGGATAATTCTAATAAACAGATAAAGAACGAAAACCATTATTGTTTAAATGATGACCATATTAGTTTGTTTTAACGAACTTTAATTTGTTTTCTGCCGATTGCTCGTTTAAAGCTAACCCGAGACAAATTGACTATTTTGCTTCTATGTCCTTATTCTGTTACAAAAATTACATAGAACTTGAATGCTTTCTAAAGCAAATTGGTGAACTTTCATGTCTTCTTCGTCGTCATTATTTGAAGAAACTTGTTTTTTCGAAAACAAATAATATGACATTACAAAACCGTCTTTTTTAATACAATCATTGATGATATAAAGAGGTATAGCAATTTGTTTAATATACAAGAATGTCTCTAAATTATCAAATGAATAGCAAGGTTATTAATGACATCATTAGTTATAAACAATTTCTAAATTACAAGAACGGTCTTCTTTATCGTAATCGCAAATGATCGTAAGTAACATCAAATGTTACTGGTCAATCTACGAAATATGCTAACAGTGTCTTCCACTTCTTTAGCTCGTTGATCAGTTACGAAAAGCGTCAAGTCGGTTTATAGTCTTACCTTTTTAGTTAAATATGGCTTAGTAAAATCTCTCGTGAATCCCGAAAGAGTGAGTCATTTACTAGTATCTGTTATATAAGTCGTCCGACTTATCGAGTTCACAGTGTATAGCCAACTTGCCTACTTGTACGGTCAAGATATGATTCTCGGAATCAATCTTATTATCGTCTATTGATAGGGAAGTCATAACTTGAATTGCAATTTTTTTGGCGGAAGATCCTCCCTCCATTCAGTCACATGTTCTGCGTCATCACTGCCAATGTCTTTTCGATTATAATCGGGGACGAGGCACTCGATCTTCTCCAGCGATGTACCGGATTTTGTTTGAAAGTGAATTATCAATGTACGGCAAAGTTATTATTAAGGAATGTCTTAGCACAGAATCTAGTTTTGGAATAAGCAAGTTTTTTTTTTGCGTAATCAGTATACAGAATTTGTGGGGGGGGGGGAACGTTTATTGTTATATAGAGGTAATTGTTCGTGTCGTCATTAATAATTGTACCGAGAATGGCCTTTTCTTTCTGAGTTAGTAACATCCAAAGGTATGTAAACAAATATATTTGGTATTAGCTAAACTGAATATGAATTAATGGTGTATAGAATTAAAGTTTCACGCTATCCGTAATAATAAAACATCTTAGTTTAGTTAAGAGAAAACCAATATTAATGCTTTATTAATTATCGGGTTAGTCCGACTTTTATGTTCCATGTTTGTTTTATAACATGAAACGAAACACGTTAAACCGTATCTATTACCATGAAACACACATTTGTGCGTAAACCTAATCATCATCATCGTCGGTGCCATATCCACATCTATGGCGATAACCAAAATCTCCAAACCTCATTTTTAAATAATATCCTTCAGGCATGTTCTGCTGCATCACTCTGTCGCAGCTTTTGTTTCTATCAATTTCTGCCTTGTTATCGCACCGATTATTTTTACAAACATTGCTTTCGTTACTATCTTTAGAAGAGCCAAGAGGTTTTTGTAGTTTATCGGTATGTAAGTAATTGTTTTCGGTTTTGAAGTCATTAATCGGCGTGTTTTCCAAAAGCTTGTGTCTAAATTTCTTGCTAAATTGTGAAAACTGGTCAGGGATTTTATGCACCGCTTTCTTTTTTTTATTTTCATTATTATCATCCCATTCCCTATCGTATGGTTGCGGAAATTTCCAATTTCTTCGTAAAAAGTAACCTTCTGGAACGTTTTCGTCAGCGTGCTTTTGTAAAAGTAATGGACAGTGTACGCTCTTGTCATCGGTAGTTTTATCGTCATTTATCTTATCGTTCTCGCTCCATTGATTAAGGGATGAAGAAATTCTATAACAGGGTCTGGGTTTATTGATATTACCATACACTGGCAAATCTATTGGCCAGTGTTCTTCGCAATCGTTTTCTTCTCTCTTCGATGATGACAAATACTCTTTAGAATTTTGATTAAATTCCGAAACGTCTGATAAAGCTGTAGAATTCCAACACGTAATATAATGCTAGTTAAATTTTTTTTTAGTAAACTCTCATATGGGATACCACTATTCCCAACTAACTCTTATTCGCAACGATACGTTCAAAATGCATTTATTTCTACCTTTTTCCTCAATAACAAGATCGTTGTCGTCGAAAAGCATGCTGGACTTGTCGTCCTGACTAGCGTTTCGTGATAAGCTGGATATGTAGAAAAGACGTTGATATGTTTAAATCGCTTGCAAAAACGGATAACATTTACATATTCAAGTTTATTTTACCAATTTTCGTTCATTATCTCAGTTGTAGGTAAAGATTATCCTCGTTATCCTCGAATGTATTCGATTATCCGAAAAATATTTTTTGTTTCTCTTTTTTGGATTCTCTGATGTAAGTTACGTGTATAATAATTGTTTGGAAGAAATAACCAGAAACATGCATGTAATACCGAGGTAAAACTACTAGCTTAGTTATTGAGATCTGACGGTATGTGTTCTCCTTTTAAAGATATCAGTCTTCGATCACTTTATCATATCTCATACTGATGTGATAAATGATCTTATATTTAAGACAATGGTTGCTTTTGTTAAAGTTGATGAATCAGCATGCATATTATTAATGACAATTTTTATTTTGATAATAACTATTGGTACCAATGATGGTTATTTTAATAATATCAGCACGTGTTAGCGACAAATACACAGGCCCTCTAATGATATCGTGGGACGCAAATTTGTGCAATCAAAAGAAGTTTAGAGAAAAAGCCACATAATATGTAGCGCACAATTGACAGGGGGGTAAAATCTTGGTGTTTCATGTTGTTTCATTATCATAAAACAATAACAATCTAATAATTTTAGAATAATATTATGAATTACAATTTCTATAGATATTACCCTGACACTTCTGTTTGCCGACAATTATAGAATTATGATTATAACAGCAAGTAACAGTCATACGCTTGAGGCATTCTGTGTTATTTCACTTTACTAAAACTATCAATAATCTTGCACGTCAAGATCGCCACAGTAGTAAAGGTTTGTATTGGTGGTAACAGGTCAGTTGCTACGAGAATATGTTATTGCGAAAGGGCAACTCGGACATAGTATTTGTTAAATTACCTTGTCAGAAAAAAAGAAGCTTTTTAATATTCTCAATAGGTTAGGTGCGGACATCTTGTTTTATACAGTTTTTAAACTACGGGGTAAAAGGTTTCGGTGTATGGTTTATTACGCTTGATTACTTCTGGAACATTTGCCGCTTTGCTGATACTGCCTTTATTGAATCAAATATTGTCCAAATTAAGATACTAATTAATTATTTTTTTCGCTTTGGCGAGCTTGCTGGGTAATCGCATCCATTGAGACACGGTGGTTGTTACTTTGGCCATTTGTGAAAAATTTGTCTTTGAAGCATCAAAGGCAGTTTGCTGATTGACATGCTGGTTAGGAGCAAAAGTTATGCTTGATTGTCAATATCTATCATAATTAATTGAATCTTGATGGTCATGATACAGTCGCACCTCGATATACTCCACTCTTGATTATAGTCACATTGCAATTTACACGCCTATTAACGAAACTCTGAAATAATCTTTATCACTCAATTTTCGTATCGACGCCGTGACTATATTGAGATGTGACTGTATTAGTAATGCTTGTAACATTAATAATAATTTGCGGTAACCGAAAAAGCGAAGAAATGCAAACTGTGGCGCTCTGGCACAGAGCCATTGATTTCATTTTTCTTCATTCAAGTTGAGCAACATTGAATTTTGAGATTCATTTATTTATTACTCTAAATTTGATCAACTCGTTCTTTGGGAATTTTTATTTCACAGGCAATGTTTAAAGATATGTTAATAGCAGAGGTCCGTATCATTGAGCCGGCGACTAACCAAAAAAGGACAATTTGAAAATGATGTCTGGCGGCAAAATGATCACCTCCCGTACAACGCATATATAATGATAAACATTTAGTATACTGAATATATAAATTTAGCCTGCACTTTCAAATCGTTGATTTCTGATAGTATTCTCTACGAGCGCTAAACACAATTCTTGACTGCTTCTAAAGCATTCTTTATTTCAGCTCTGTTTCAAGTCCGAATTAACGAAGGCCTGGGTTTAAAGGTAACTTTATAACGAAAATTTTTTCTTTTTCGAAACTGTATTATAAAATAAAATTGCCTTAACACACAATCAACATTAAGAAATGAAGTAGTGGAACACAGCACCTGATAAGGGGGTTCGACGACAATAGAAACGAGAAAATTACTCAAATTTTGAAACAAGACAATAGTAAAGTAATGAGAATTCAAAAAAGAGTTTGAGTCTCTAAATTTACAAGGAATGGACAATGTTAACATTGTAAATTGACTTCACTGTATAAACATATAATCTCATACCTGCTGCTGAATCCTGATCATAGCTATTTCTTGGTTGAGGTAATTTTCCTGTAGGTAAAAGTTTAACTGGAATATTTGCTCTCTTTTTCATGACATGATAAAGGAATTACATTGTTATAATAAATGGTATTCCATATGCTGCTATCAGAACTGTCCTTTTCCATTTTCTCAAGAAGGTCCCTAATATAATAATAAAGTGCCATTCCATCTTCAAATCGTCTGTCAGAATCAGCATCACAACACTGCTCGGCAAGTTCTTGTATTCACCGCATTTTGGGTGTGGGAGACTGGAGTGATGCAAGCTTTACTACGAAAACTTTGGTCATAGTAACAAAAAGTTCTACGACCTTCGATTTTATTCTGTGATATATGCTACGCAATCGCATGTGATTTTATTTCGGAAATGTATTTTCCCCAGCATCACCATGCAAATTTCACGTTCACATGATTATTTCTGTACATAGGCAGACTCGATAAGTCGGCTGGCTTGGTTGACCGACTTATCGAGGGAGACCGACTTAGGAATCCACGTGATTTATTTAGTAAATTTTTATTTTTATATGTATTAATAGCAAGCAAATGCAAAACCATTATTCTAAATAAACATATATCTTGTTTGTGTTGAATAATTCGTTCGTTTTTTCTCGATTTCCTGCTTTAAGTGTCTTAAGCTTGAAACAAATGAACTGTTTACTCGTATATCATTCTGCTGCAAATAATTATGTAAATTTTGACTGCTTTCTATAGCCATTTGTTAGATACAATAGAAACCTCGTCTTTGTCGTTATCTTCTCCCTCACCCTCAGGAGCTTCT